ACCAAAACACAGAAAGGATTCATTAAAGCAACAGAACAAAACCTAATTTGGGACCCTAAAAACTCTGGCAATGCCACGGTAATGAAGTTTTCATTATCTGCTTCAGAGTAACAGTCTCTGAAATTGTTGTTCTGCTACATGTTGTAACTAACTCCCAAAACTCAAATGTATCAGGAAATGTAAAGGTTAAGTCTGACTACAAGAAGGCCAAAATTGCACCAGCTTCCTAAGTGAAGAATAGCAGAATAAAACATATAGAAGGCAGAAATAAAATGAGGTGTATCTGGAGAATTTCATGATGAGCATTTAGATTTAGCAGTGCCCAATGTCACACTTACACTGTTTGTCATGACCTTGTCTTCAGCTATTAATTTGGGGTTGTACATCTTTTTAAATTTAATTTTGAATGTTCTTGCATGTTTGGTGCATCTCTCAGCACTGCTAAAGATTAATTGTTTATCTATATAACATAACTACACCAATATCATTTAATGTATACACTAGTACAAAAATGTTTTTTATTAAGTAAATGAAGAATTTGCTGTGAAAAATATATTATTTGTGGCCACCACTTATATCTGTGTTCATTTTCTGTGTGTATCTGCATGTGTATTAGAATCCCAGTTTTTCTTTTGCTCTAGTTTAGATTTAAATTGTCATATTTAGATGAAATTTAAAAAATAGCATTGGAAATAGGAGGCTATGTTTTGCTGAGTTTCATTCCCTTGGGGGGAAATTGCTTTTTCCATTTTATTTTCATGTACAATAATCTAAAAAGGATCTCCTACTGACTTCCTTCCTAATTATTATTGTTTTACATGAAAGAAAGGAAATATGTTTTCAATTGTCTGAAATCATTCACTTTGTGTAGATTTCCCAGATTGATGTTTCATTGTAAGAATATTACATTATAGACCACTTGGCCATTTCACAAGCAACTAATCCATAGTTTTGGAAGTCTGCTTTAAGAGACCCAAATATCTTTGTTTTTAATAAAATACTTAGAGTTTAACTAAAGCTCTGAAATAACCTTTATTTCTTTTGAGAAGGGTGATTTTGGGGCTGAAAGAAGGAAGCAAGCATCCAAATACCTACAGTTTAAATGTTAACTGTTAATTTAGTCCATTAACCTTGTCTATCATGATCCGTGATGTTTTCACTGTGAGAAGGATACTAGCACAGCCCTGTCCATATAGCTTTTTAAAGATGATAAAGAGGTTCTTCGAATTATTGAAGTTTTTCTGGAGGTAGGAAAGTCTGCAGCCAAAGGCTGGGTTCCTGTGTCCGTTACAGATTGCTCAAATTTGCATGGGCAATTACACAGGGGGATCGCATCAATGCAGGACCGCCAGCCACACTGACGCCATACAATTACACAACGGCTTCGGTGCTTAAACTTTAAAATTCTTACACCATTGTGCCTGTTCTATTAGAACAAACTGCAGCAAATGATCCAAAGCCAATTCAAATGACTGGAGAGGAGGTGCCCAGAGAAAGGAAAGAGGTGCAGTGTGGCCCACTACTGGCCAGCATAGGCAATCACTGTTGCTGGCTGCCACAGTCAGCAATCACTGGCATCTTTGTGCTTTGCAGTTTTAAAGTGGGGCCAACAATAAGGCTTACCTAATTCACAGAAGGGCCGTGAGGATCAATGAGGGAAGTTAGGCAAAGCAGCCCTGATACTCAAAGTACTTCATAAACACAAAACCTTGGAGTAGCTCTTTGTTTTAATGTTTTGTTTTTGTTTTTGTTTTTAATGCTGCTGTATCTACAGTTTTGCCTTCTCTATTAATCCCTTTTATAAACCAAAATGCTATTGTGTTCTCCCTGGGAAGTTAATTTAGACAATAATACTGTATATGCCAAAATACAAGCTGCTTGATCAAAAGCAAGGGATATTCAAGAAGAAAATCTAATTAAAATATTAATAAAGCTGGAACTGCCAGCAAAAGGAGAGTTCATAATGAGGTTAAATGTCACACCACCTGAGCACAAATGTTCTCAAGTGTTGATTTTAGCATACACTCTTTCCAAAAGTCCTAAAAGATTGAACAGATGCTCCTAAAAATCAGTCAACTGTATTTCCAATTCGGCACTAATTCATTCTTTTCTTCTCTGTTCATGGCAGAAGACTGGAGTGAGGGAATGGGGACGCAAGATAACTGAACTTCCCAAACTGTCCATCCTGAAGAAAATGGTCTGAAATAAAAACAAAAATAAAATAACAACTGAAAAATGGATTTGCAGAAGGTCTTCCTTTGTCAAGGAAGATGTTTGACCACAGCTGTGTTTGAAATACTTAGAAATTAACAATGTTTACCAACAGAAAGATATAGTATAAATAAGACATAACCTTACAACTAGTTTTAAAAGAGAATGCCAAAGAGATTACACACACAAATAGAATATGGGATTTGATCATGGCATATTTTGGCAGGCAGAACATAAGCATGCTAAGAACCAAGCATCATACTTTTTGCTCCTATATATTTTGCCTCAATGAAACTCATCTACATGATAAACGTGTCTCCCTTTATGTAGCAAAATCCACCCTGAGTTCAACTCAAATTTCATCAAACTACAATTCCTTTCTACAAGTCACCAAATCACTTTATTACAACCACCAAATGCTTTCCTATTGCTTGAAATGGTATGATAAACTCACTTTTTGATATATGCTCCATGTTTTCAAGATCCTATTGCAAACAAAATGATGCTTTATGACACTTCATAATATTTCACCCTATTTAATTCTTTCCAGAATTTCTATCATTAAAGGGCCTTCTCTCACCACCACCCCCAACAAAACTAATCTATTCCCCAACTACCTATCAGAGACCAAATAAAAAGTCAGTCTATCAGCAGCAGTGATGGTCATGCCAATTTCACAGTGTGATCTGTGCACTCATTTCATTTTGAAAATGACCCTGCCCTCCATCTGTCTAAGCCGAATGTCCTGCTTTTTTCAAGCCAGGCCTCTGGAGCAGCATCACATGAAATAAGGAGGAAGAGACAGAACGGCCTCCCTCCTGTTCACTTCAGCTGCCATGATAACAAGTACCCACACAAAGAGGAGAACCCCAACTGAATCCTGGTAGGGATCCCAGAAATTTGGAGGAGAAAATATAGTCCTTTTACTTTTCATACATTTTCAAGAAGCCATTTGAAGGTGATATAAATACAATCCTACAAAACAGAGAGAAAGATTAAAGGTATGAAAGGCAATTTTCCATTCCCATTTTGTCATCTTACTTTAATTAAATAGCAAATTACCTAATGTAACAGTACATACACAAGAACTTTAAAATACTGAGCCTTGTGAGGCACAGTGGCTCATACCTGTAATCCCAGCACTTTGGGAGGCCGAAGTGGGAGGGCTGCTTGAGGCCAGGAGTTTGAAATGAGCCTGGGCAACATGGTGAGACCCTATTTCTATTAAAACATTTTTTTTAAAATTTGGCATGGTGGTGCACCTATAGTCCCAGCTACTCGGGAGGCTGAAGCAAGAAGATCACTTAAGCCCAAAAGTTCAAGGCTGCAGTGAGCTATGATCATGCCATTGCCTGAACAACAGAACAAAGCCCTGTCTCTAACTAATAAATAAATAAATAAAAAATAAATCACTTGAGCCCAGGAGTTCAAGGCTGAAGTGAGCTATGATCATGCCATTGCACTCCAGCCTGAACAACAGAACAAAGCCCTGTCTATAAATAAAATACTGAGCCTAAATTCCCAAGGTAGAACCATCAGGAAGCCAGCTATAAATAAAACGATGCACCCCCTCCCCCAATTTATTACTGAGCAGTATCCTTTACCCATGTACCTCCTTGGGTTTAAGACTCTAAAAGGGTGCACCAATAGATCAGATTGAAAGAAGCCTCAGAATAGAGTTATAGTAGTATTCCACAGTTGCTTTCTGTGGGGTCTTGGGTGACCAAAGCCCCATTCAATCCTTCTGAAATGGGTGGTGCAGTTTTCCTTTCTTGGAATTGACCTTGTTTAGTCCCAGCCAGGAATACACAACTCTGCCAGTTCCTAGTAAGGGAGAAGACTGAATAAATAAAGTCACCCATTTGATGATATGAGCAATCACACACCTACTAAAAATCTCCTCCCAATGATACCAGGTAAATACGACCTACACAACTCCACTAGTCACATCTGCTCACAGCAGGAATCAAGGCCTAGAAGTTCAAAGTCTACTACCTACACAAAGTTAGTTCGTTGTTTTAATGGCGAAACAGAGACAATAATAATATTCCTTACAGACACTTAGCACCAAAAAATTGGCCCTTACAAACTAATGTACGTGAGATAGATGGATCAGGTTATTCATCATTCACTTTCTTATTGAAATTGGTTATTGGATATCACGGCTTAGCTCCTACCTACCTAGGTGTGGCCTTAAGCAAACTATTAATTTAAATAGTTTAATTAATAATGTAATACTTAAATCTTTAAACCTTTCAAGCTCACAGACTTCGTCATTTGCAATATGCAGAATGCAGGCTGCTTATTCAAATTAGAACTACTGTATGTAAACAGTCTATAACAGAGTGCTATATGATATGGTTGATACTGTATCAACCATATGCTGCTCTATTCTGTTCTTAAAAACTGTGCCCTTGGGGTAGCATAATAAGAAACTGCTCTCATTCCAAGGGAATTCAAGGCGTTAACTACCTTTTGCAATCCAGTCCCTCTATTAAAAGGTCCTTTTATTGTACTGGCGAATCTCTACATCATTAAAAGTAAGCCAAACCCCAGCATTAGCATAGACCACACCGTGCACAGGGCTCTAAATCGCCAGGAAGACGTGGCCGGAAACCTTCCTCCGCCGCGCAAGAGACCGCGGTGCCACAACAGACGAAGAGAGCGCCCCACATCTTTAGTGGGCACGAAAGGCGGGTGACTCTGCGTCCCAACCGGCCGCGGATCAGGTCAGTACAGCAGGAACTACGCCTCCCAGCATGCAGTGCGACCACGCCCGCGCAGCTGCGCCACTGGAACGGTGCATGCCGGGACGGTGGGGTTCCGTCTTTGAACAGCCCGGAGGAGTAGCCTTTCCCCGCCTAACTGCCGCTACTCCGCAGTCCAGATCTTTGAAAGTCAAACCGAAATTGAGAGATTAACGAGAATGGTTCCTTTTTATTCCTAGCAGATTTCTTCCGTGACAAAGTAACCGGCAGTCTTCCGTTTCCGGTTGCCGTGTTGCTGTGTTGCCGTGGCAACCGCAGGCACAACAGCCGTGGCGGTTATGGCGGGCGTGAACGGCGCGCAGATCCCCGACGGGGAGTTCACCGCGGTCGTGTACCGGCTCATTCGCGATGCCCGCTACGCCGAGGCGGTGCAGCTGCTGGGCCGAGAGCAGCAGCGGAGCCCGCGGAGCCGCGCCGGCCTGTCGTTGCTGGGCTACTGCTACTACCGCCTGCAGGAGTTCGGGCTGGCGGCCGAGTGCTATGAGCAGCTGAGCCAGCTGCACCCGGACCTAGAGCAGTACCGCCTGTACCAGGCCCAGGCCCTGTACAAGGCCTGCCTTTATCCGGAGGCCAACCGGGTCGCCTTCCTTCTCCTGGATAACCCCGCCTACCACAGCCGGGTCCTCCGCCTGCAAGCTGCCATCAAATACAGCGAGGGCGATCTGCCAGGGTCCAGGAGCCTGGTGGAGCAGCTGCTGAGTGGGGAAGGGGGAGAAGATAGTGGGGTCGAGAATGAGACCGATGGCCAGGTCAACCTGGGTTGTTTGCTCTACAAGGAGGGACAGTATGAAGCTGCCTGCTCCAAGTTTTTTGCGGCCTTGCAGGCCTCGGGCTACCAACCTGACCTTTCCTACAACCTGGCTTTGGCTTATTACAGCAGCCGGCAGTATGCTGCAGCGCTGAAGCATATCGCTGAGATTATTGAGCACGGTATCCGCCAGCACCCTGAGCTAGGTGTGGGCATGACCACTGAGGGCTTTGATGTTCGCAGTGTTGGCAACACCTTAGTCCTCCACCAGACTGCTTTGGTGGAAGCCTTCAACCTTAAGGCAGCCATAGAATACCAGTTGAGAAACTATGAGGTAGCCCAAGAAACTCTCACTGACATGCCACCCAGAGCAGAGGAAGAGTTGGACCCTGTGACTCTGCACAACCAGGCACTAATGAACATGGATGCCAGGCCTACAGAAGGGTTTGAAAAGCTACAGTTTTTGCTCCAACAGAATCCCTTTCCCCCAGAGACTTTTGGCAACCTGTTGCTGCTCTACTGTAAATATGAGTATTTTGACCTTGCAGCAGATGTCCTGGCAGAAAATGCCCATTTGACTTACAAGTTCCTCACACCCTATCTCTATGACTTCTTGGATGCCATGATCACTTGCCAGACAGCTCCTGAAGAGGCTTTCCTTAAGCTTGATGGGCTAGCAGCAATGCTGACTGAGCAGCTTCGGAGACTCACCAAGCAAGTACAGGAAGCAAGACACAATAGAGATGATGAAGCTATCAAAAAGGCAGTGAATGAATATGATGAAACCCTAGAGAAGTATATTCCCGTGTTGATGGCTCAGGCAAAAATCTACTGGAACCTTGAAAATTATGCAATGGTGGAGAAGATCTTTCGCAAATCTGTGGAATTCTGTAATGACCATGATGTGTGGAAGCTGAATGTGGCTCACGTTCTGTTCATGCAGGAAAACAAATACAGAGAAGCCATTGGTTTCTATGAACCCATAGTTAAGAAGCATTTTGATAACATCCTGAGTGTCAGTGCTATCGTACTGGCTAATCTCTGTGTTTCCTATATTATGACAAGTCAAAATGAAGAAGCAGAGGAGTTGATGAGGAAGATTGAAAAGGAGGAAGAGCAGCTCTCTTATGATGACCCAGATAAAAAAGTGTACCATCTCTGCATTGTGAATTTGGTGATAGGAACTCTTTATTGCGCCAAAGGAAACTATGAGTTTGGTATTTCTCGAGTTATCAAAAGTTTGGAGCCTTATAATAAAAAACTGGGAACAGATACCTGGTATTATGCCAAAAGATGCTTCCTGTCTCTGTTAGAAAACATGTCAAAACACATAATAGTCATTCATGACAGTGTTATTCAAGAATGTGTCCAGTTTCTAGGACACTGTGAACTTCATGGCACAAACATACCTGCTGTTATTGAACAACCCCTGGAAGAAGAAAGAATGCATGTTGGGAAGAATACAGTCACAGATGAGTCCAGACAATTGAAAGCTTTAATTTATGAGATTATAGGATGGAATAAGTAGTTCTAGCTGATAGTGGCTTTTTTCAAAATGGCTTTCTTATCTATCACACTTTTAAATCTATACTTAGACTTGGCATCTTTATATTTGTTTTCTTTTGAACTTTATACACTTTAAATTATAATAAGTATTATGTTTGAACAACTTTTTCATTTAATTCAGAAGAGTAGGGACTATGAAGTGTAAGCTGAATCACTTCTGCTTTCTTCCTACTAGTGACAACCATCTAGTCTTGCCCTCAAGCTACAGTTGCTAGAGTGACATCTTTGTATAAGCAAGTAACCCCAAATAGAGTTGATGTTTCAGCTTTGAGCTGTGAAAAGGGTATGTCATGAACCAAAGCTCTATCAGTATGTGTATGTTTGCATTTGGTCACTGGTATGTAAATGACTGCTAGCCCATGGCTGGACCACTTCTCAATCAGTAAATAAAGCCATGTCTATTTTGCCATCTCAGGATAGACTGTGCTATCTAAAAAATCTAATTCTTAACTCTATTTCTTGAGTTTTTTAGTCCTTTAACTTTCTGGATCACAACAAAGTTCTACTTTAGACCTTCCCTAAGCCCTTTTTAGAAGTACAAGTATAATGGGAATTTCTTTTTTTGGTTCTTTTCAGGTTATGAGGTTTGGTCGATGACTTATTATTATTATTTGTAATTTGGTTGATTGGTTGTTTAAATTTTATAACAAACATTTTCTTCATTTTCTATTTTTGATTTTACAGAAATGATTTTGCCTCCTTGTGTATACTGACATATTAAGTGTAGAAGCTTAATATTTTAAGTTTTTTTGAAAACTGAAAATTTTAATTTTGTACTTTTAAATTTTATTAGGAAAAAATAAGCACTGAAGTGAGAATGAGAAGACTAAAGTATGAGTTCCATACCTTCTAATTTTAGACTTTCAGAGATTCCTTTATTCTTTGGGGTTTCACAATCATTTGAACTATCAGAAACCTTTACAATTAATTTTGGCTGTAACATCTGATTTAGTATAAGCCATATAGAAAAAAGTTTGCCTTTCTGTTTTTATGACCTGTATATATAAACAAATCAGCTAGGAAATACATAATTGTATTTAATATTAATATTTGCTAGGATTTTGGCTTACTGTACATGTTAACCCCTACAGTAAATGGTTGTTATCTTATTGTTGGATGTTATATTGATTATTAAGACATTTGGATTTTTGCCTTTTTACTTGGAATTTTTGCTTACAACTCTAGCTATGAATATATATTGGGTGGTCCCCAGTCTCTGCTATGGTTGTGCATAAATTAATAATTTTATAAGTATTTAAAAATTGTATAATTCTCTTAACCTATCCTTTTAGATTTCGTACTAATGTTTGTTTTTGTTGGGGAAGGGGAGATTTGCTTCAGTAGTTTTATTGACAAGCTGTTAAAATGTGTGTTTTTTCCCCAATAATTCTTGAAACAATTAGACCCTCTCCTGCTTCTAACATGAAGGCCTTTAGATGCCAGTCTGCCAGAAATCTGGAAACAGAGGAACAAGTGAAGTGAAGATGTAATGGAGATTTAGCTACATGATGTACTTCACAGTCCACCTTGGATTCCCATCATGTCCAACTCTCAGTAGTTAATCAAGTGTCTGCTGCTGTTAACAGAACAGAGGTAATGGATAAAAGAATGGAAATAACAGATGCCAGAGCTACTTCCGTAACTAACTCACCAAATCAAATCATCAGTCCTTATACTCTTGTTTTATTTAATACCAGGAGAAGAGGCCATGCAGACTTTTGAAAAAGTCAAAGCCACATAGAACAGGAAGACAGTCTCTAGTTTACAGCTTTCTCTTTGAGTGTTTTCCCCCCACTGCCTTCAAAGGGTCTGCTTAAGAGATAGTGGTGTTTACTGCTGCAGAACATATCACTAGATAAGAAATGAAAAATCTGCCTTTCATAACACCCTCTTCTCTTTCCCTTTTTTATCTTTTCCTTTTTGTCAAGTATAGGGACACTTTTCTCTGATAGCTAAAAGTTGAACCTTAACCAGGTATAAAAGATGCATACCGAACCTTTTAGCAGTAAGTGTCAGGTGAGTGAGCACTATGATTATCAAGGTGACTTTGGAAATCTTTTAAAAATCCATTTTTGCAAAACAAGATAACATGTATTGATAAAAAGTGACTCTCAGATTGGTAAAGCCAGAAAAACTCTTAAGAGGAATCACCGAAGGTACTAGATCTATATAATTTGTTGAATAGAGTGAACTTTTAAAAATATATTTGTGGTAACCTTCTCTTTTAAACTTTTTGAACTCAAAAGAAAGACTGAAATTTTAAAAACATGTAGTATCTGTATCATTTTAAATTCTGTAACATTGGGAATTAAATATACTCAACTTCAGAGGACACTTGCCTTACTGTAATCTATAATCATTTTATATTGAAAAATAGGGCCAGACATTAGCCAGAAGGTAATTAATTTATTAGCCATAGGTATAGTGTTTAGTATTCTCTTTACAAGGTGATGACTCTATACTTGATACCACTGTTAATTGAGGTTCTTTTGGTTCTTTAATTAAATCAGCTCCTTTGGATTTGGGCCAAGATTGACCCACCACATACTGAAATCCTTTCTACAACATCATAATGTGTATTTATTCAAAAAGGGATTGCTTCATAAGGAAAAATTATTAGAATATAGAGAGTTCTAAGTACATTTCTAGTGTGAAAAATAAACATTTGTTAGTTGAAGTGAAACCTGACAATAACTTGATTGCAAATATTAATATAATGTGAACATGTGAAATGGGCCCAAGTCCTTGTTCAAAAGCAAAATTTGCATGTTTATGAAATAAAACACATCAATATTAATGACCAAATATCTTAATTCAAAATAGCAAATAGCTAAATTTGTACTATGCAAACAGGACCCTAGTAAGGTATGTGGGAAAGCATATATTGCTGCTAATATTTTATTTTCAATTATTTCATTAGGAGAGTCAAATGCTTAAGATGAAAGACACATGACTAAAAGTTTCACCAGCACTCATGTCAACTGCTATAAAACATGTGTCCATGGAGTGCCCACAAACCCTCAAGATCTTGTTAAGTCTCAACAGTAAACTACTGGCTGGTTAGTTTTTCTAATCAAGGTCAGGGTCTGTTGTGAAAACTCAACCTCTTAGTCGTAGTTCTTCCAAATTTTCCAAAACCATACACTATAGTGCATGTACTTCATATATGGAAAGGAGACTGTATACTTCTGTGAATATAAATTGTCTATTGCATTTTTAAGTCATGAAGTACCATGAAGTACACACCCTAACATTGTAAAACAAAACAAGAAAAAAACCTTCAGGAATCAGACCATAACAGCAACAGTTTGCTGAAACTATTTAATCAGAAGGCAATACCACATACTCACATATACTAAGGAGTGCCATTATTTTGTATGTTTACTGGAAAAGGCAAAAACTTTTTCCGTAGTTAATACAATATTTTTGTTTCTAGGACTTTTATTCTTGTACTGATTCATTATCATTAAACTGTTTTGACAAAATGCCAAAGACCAAAGGAGAGGTACACGTGATTTGACCAAGACACTGCAAGTAGTTTCAGAAACTAAGGAGACTATTTTTCTGACAATGTATCTAGAATTTATAATGAAATGATTGGTAAAATTATACAATGATTCTGGAGATAATCATGTAAAATATAAATGGAAAATCATAAATGTGATTTTTTTTATATTTGTAGACATGACCCAAATAGCTTCTTTTAAATTACAAATTATTAAGATAAACATCTGGAATGTATCTGCAGCTAGAGTGTAAACAATGAGGGCTTAGACTAGCTCATCCTTAAATCATAAAACTGAGGCTCAGAGATGCTATAACTTGCCCAAGATAATGTGATAGAGCCAAATAGGATCCAGGCAAAGCCAGGATCAGAATTCAGGGCTTCTTGCTCAGTTCCCATGTTCTTTCCACTCTACCACATTTCTCTGAGACAGAACAGGGACCCCTCTTAGGGCCTCCAAGTATGGAAATAAAGGAAAATCTTGAGTTCCTACAAGGGAAGCTCCAGACACCTAGCTAGCCCTGAAAAGTAAGTAAGCAACTTGATGAGCAAGAAGGTAAGAGTAGTTTAAGGCAATAGCCAAGGAAATTAGAATCACAGGATGTTTGGTTCCCCTATAGGAACTAGAGATAACATATGTCCCTGAATTGTTTTTCAGAAACATAGACCCCACCGAACAGGTCTGCCTGCACATAGACCTCCGATAAGGGGGAACTGAGGAATGAACTCTGACTGCCATTCTATATGGTCTAAATTTTTTCCTGAGGTGCCTGGAGAAAGTTCACTCGTGAGTCAGGGCTGATATTCTTTTCTGCTGACCCCAGAATTTTTAAACAAACCTTTTCCTTAACCAATTGCAAATCAGAAAATCTTTCAATCTATGATCAGTAAGCCCCATCAAGATATCCTGCCTTTTTAAGCCAAACCAACATGTAAACTCCATGTATTGATTTATAATTTTGCCTGTAACATCTGCTTCCCTGAAATGTACCCCTGCCTTTAAGAAACCCTTGCTTGCAAACCATAAGAGAAGTCAGGGTTTAAGCAAGAACTGCCTGATCCTCCTTGCTTGGCACTCTGCAAATAAATGTCCTCCTTTCTCCTGCTGCAAATCTCAGTGTGGATGTTTGGCCTTATTGTGCCAGGAAAGCAAATCCCAGTTCAGTTCCATAACACCTTCTCTTGGGTATTTTTTGTTTTTGTTTGTTTGCTTGTTTTACAAATTTTTCTATCAATGCTAGGCATTTCTTTTCCAGTGTTATGACTTTTGCCACTTCAGTTCATGCTGATTATTTAATCAGTAGTTCAATAGGCTTAAAAAAAATACACTTAGAACATTCCAGGACTAGCCTAAACTACTATAGTTTACAAAAGTGTGTTGAGGGTTCCTGAGCAGGTATGTTATGCTGCTTGTGGCAGCACAGATTTAGTGGCACTGCAATCTGGGCTGGGCACAAAGATTACTGACTCACCTGTTGTTTCATCTCCGCTTTGAAAAAATCACCTTATATAATTCTTCTTAAAGTCAGCGATTTTCTTCTCTTCATTATAGTTTCCAGCCACCACAAACACATAAAAATGGCCGTCAAAAGGCTTCTCTACACCTTAAGTGGAAAGAGCTGTGAGGCACCTACTCAGAAATCCCAGCACAGTGCCAGCTGATTTCACAAGTATTTACAAAGTGTTACCAGAGACTTTTGAGGTCCCATAAAGTTTTACCTTTACTTGCAAAGTCCACTTGAGCTAAACTCCTGAACACTTGTCCTCTTCCAGAAGATTGATTGCTCCTTTCAGCTTAGGTTTAGGGGAAGAAAAATTAAAAGCAAGCAAACAATTGAGCCACGATTAAGTCCCTGTTATTTACTTTCTTTTGTGCTAATAATTCTTAGTCCACATTCTACATGAGAATCAGTGGGTAAACTTTTCAAAAAGTAAAGATGCCTTGGCTCTAGCCCCTAAAGATTCTATTTCTATGGAGATGGGAGTGGGAGGAGGGGTCAGGTCTTTGTAAGTTCCCGAGATAACTAATGTGTAGTCAAGGTTGAGAACCACTGTACTGTACAAACACAATAGTGACCCTGTGGCTGCTGTATGCTGGTGTGAAGGTTGTGATGCAACATATTTGAGACTAAAATAACCCTGATGCCCAACCTAAAGAAATGATGAAAAATGAATAAATGGAACAAATGAAGGATCTGAATTTTTTTTTTTTAGAGGCACTAAGTCTGGCATATTCTGATTCTCTCAAATGTGGCTTTTAAACCAGTGAAACTTCTTTAAAAATTTTTTTTAAATCATACACTCGATAATTGTTAAGAAATCTTTGGCTTTCAAAAAAAGAATTTTAAAAATACTGAAGTAACTAAAAGTTATACAATTTGATAGTGGAAACTAAGAAGGGTTTTCTAAATTTAAGAATATGAAAATACTCTTTTTGTTTTCAAAGACACCTAAGTGTCATTTACTGTTGTAAGAGAGGAAAAATTTTCCTCTGTCTTCAGGGTTTTCAGCTAGGACTGACATAATACAGATTAAACAGAAGAAAAGCATACGAATTTTATTTACATGTATATGGGAGCCCCCACAAGGACAACAAAGATCCAAAGAAGTGGCTAGGCCTAAGCACTTATATTGTAGTTTGAGCAAAGGGTGGAAATTGTAGAAAAGTAACTAGGAGGATAAGTTAGTTTAACAAAGTTTGTACGGATTTCTCTCAGCTTCAACTCCCCATCTCTGGTGATGAGAATGTTGTTTCTTTTGTACTGGTATAGGGAGGGTATCTTTCACATGGGAGTTTCATCTTCTGCTTTTGGGAAGAAAAGAGAAGATTAGAGTACCCTTCCTGTACCTACTGTTTCTCAAGTGCCTCTATTTCAAAATAATTAATATGCCAAGGCAGCATATTTTGGAGTGGCATGTCTGAATTCCTTTACTGTCATCTCTTCTTAGCTTATTAGTTTACCTTTGCCAAAGTCAGAAGTGACTGTGCATTATTATAACCATGCATACAAATGCTTTTGGTTGACTTTGGATGCACCCAATTTGTTCTTCTAATATATGAGCCACATTCATCTGTTCTTCTTATAAATATGGATTCCTCTAAACCAGACTCCAGTCCCATGTATGCATTTATAGATGCACATATATTTTTTTAAAATTTGCATTGGAAATTAATAATACTCAATGGTTATGTTGATTTATTTATTTTGAAACAGGGTCTCTTTCTTCCAAGCTGTAGGGCAGTGGTGTGATCATGGCTCACTACAGCCCTGACCTCTTGGGATCAAGGAATCCTCCCACTTCAGACACCCAATTAGCCGGGGCTACAGGTCCACACCACCATGCCTGGCTAATTTTTATGGGTTTTTTTTTTTTTTTGGTTTGTTTCTTTTTTGCTGTTGTTGTTGTTGTAGAGACAGGGTTTCACAAGTTAGCCAGGCAGGTCTCGAACTCCTGGACTCAAGCTATCCATCTGCCTTGGCTTCCCAAAGCACTGGGATTACAGGCATGAACCACTGTGCCCAGCCTTATATTGGTTTATAATTCAGTATGAATTCTCCATCTTTATTCTGCCCCCATCCCCAAACATTTGGTCTAAACTGATGGTTCTCAAAATGTTTGACTGCCCAGTAGAATCATCTGAGACGCTTTTAAAGCTCTCATGCTGTATTAATTCATTCTTGTACCGCTATAAAGAATTACCTGAGTCTGGGTAGTTTATAAAGAAACAAGGTTTAGTTGCCTCATGATTCCACAGGCTGTACAGGAAGGATGGCAGCATCTGCTTCTGGGGAGGCTCAGGGAGCTTTTACTCATGGTGGAAGG